AAGAAATTGTCCTAAACACCTAGAAAGTTGTTGGTTACAACATTGGTTAATTCAAACTCTTCACTTTTTAACTTTTGTCGTATGTGTTTCTTTTAATGTTGTACGCCGCCCTGAGTTCTTGGGAGAAGGGCGGCATATAAATCGAATAAACCTCAAACCTCAACCTCAAATCAATAAACACACCTAATGCACTTTCCTCTTCCTATTTTCTCCATAACAATTATTCAGTGAGGGGGGTGGGTAAGAGAGAGTGACTGGCCCAAAGTCACGCAGCTAGTTTTTTATGACTAAGGCAGCACTAGAACTCACAATATCCCAGTTTCTAGGCCAGCACCCTAACCACTAGAGCCAACTGGCCCAGACTTACATACATTGGTTTGTTTTGAAATGTTTCTTCTTATCATTTATAAAATGTTCTGTTCATAATATTACTTATACTAACATTATAATTACATACATTGTTTTCATGTATGTAACGTGTTTTCTCCTTCCCTCCCCCCGAATTGTGAGCCGCCCTGAGTCCCCTCAGGAAAAGGGCGGCATACAAATAAAGTAAATGAAATGAAATGAAAAATGAAAATAATAGTTACTAAAAACGAATATTAGTATCTTGAGCCACTATTAACTAGTGGAATGATAAGAGAATGCAGTACTACTTTTTCAGAACAAGACTTTTATCTTGAAAGACACTTGAACTTGCAAAGTAACTTGCGAATATGCATAGAACTTGAATGTGGAAGTTGAATTGATTTGATTGATTGATTTGATTTAATAAATTTATAGGCCGCCCAATCCCGAAGGACTCCAGGAGGCTTACAGAAAATTTAAAAAGTGAAGAGTTTGAATTAACCAATGTTGTAACCAACAACTTTCTAGGTGTTTAGGACAATTTCTTCTAAGCAAAAGTGACATGAGAATAGGGGCTGGAATACTGTGGTGCAGATTTGGAATCTAATATAATTTAACGTAAAGAGGTTTGTTGAGGGAGTTTCCTGCCCCATTCTTACACAGCAGCCAGCAGTCACCAAAAAGGTTAACTGAAAAACCTTTTTCAAGAAAATCAGTGTCTCTCCTAAACAAATGAGGTGATGCAGAAAGTCACCCGGTTTTGAGCAATTATTCACTGCATAACTAGCCCCCACATTCCTCCCCAGGAGTTTTCTTGAACCTGGGATGAAATGTGGGTGCTGGTTATGCAATGGAGAATTTCGCCAAACTGGGTGATCTTCTGCATCCTATCTCTCTTTTTTTTTTAGGAGAGACATGGATTCTTTGAAAAGGCTTTTTACAATTCAGAGCCAAATATGGATTTCAGGGCCCAATAGTGGAAGAAAAAAACTTCCTTATAAGAAATCCCTTGCCAAAAATGTAAATCTCATTTGAGCTGAGCTAGTAGCTATAGAAAGATACTAAGAGTTCTTTTCTTGACAATAATGTTGAATTGATTTGATGTAGCTTTCACTGTTTAGTCTAAGCCAGGGGTGTCAACTCAAGGCCCACGGGCTGGATCCAGCCTACGATGTGGTCAGATCCAGCCTGTGGGGCCGGCCTGGAAAATATACAGAGCCGGCCCTGTTGCTTTGGCCCAATCCACCCGCATCACTTCAGCCCAGTCCACCCAATGTGAAGGGGAAACATCGGGCTAGCGTGGCTTCAGCCCGGTCTACTCAGTGTAAAGAGGAAACGTGCCAGCAGTTTGGGGAGTGGCATCAAACTGACTACGCCCACCCAGCTGACCACACCCACCCAGTCAACCATGCCCAGTGAGTAATGGCAAGCCCACCCAGTTGGCCATGCCTGCCCTCCCTGAGGTCAACCACAGTCCTGATGCGAACCTCAATGAAATTGAGTTTGACACGCCTGGTCTAAATCCTGGGGTTTCTAGTTTCCAAATATTTCCAAATATTGTCATCTTGCTTAGCTTTTTCAATATAAGCCAAGATTTCTAGATGCTATCACCTATAATATATTGCAGACCATAATATTTGCATAAATATATGCATGGATACATAGACACACAAAGAGAAAAAGCGAATTAGAAGAAGAACTCGGCATTATTTGCTTGTGCTTGTATTTTACTCTGTTGGTTTCAGGAAAGAAAGTTTATCGTGTGGTCAAATTTACTTTGAAACAAGTACCTTAATTAAAAAGAGAAATGTACAGAACTTTTCAGGTTTTGACTTAAATTAGTTACACTTAAAACATATTGTACAACAGTGAGCAAGATTTATGGATGCTGTGTGAGTCATGGATATTATAAATGATGGGAAATATTAATATTTCATATTAGAGTTTTATAATCTTTATAATCTGAGTCTTAGATAAAGAACATTAAATGTGACAGATCTGCCTTTAGGCTTATGTTCTAATGAAAATGACCGTGTTAGGAGGGAGAAACTTGTGAATTATAAGATGATTTTGTGGAATGTTGGTTCAGTAAGCAAAATATGTTACTAGTTCCTGATAACTCTTCCTTTCCAAGGTGATTAAAATTAACTTTTGAATTCACTTCAGCAGTTTTCAAGTATATGTTGATCAGGAGAGAATAGGTTCTTAATAATATCCTCTGGGCAAGTGTTCCAGTCAGACATTCCTAGAAAAGTTTCTACACAATGCTTGCATTAGAATTATGGTTTTCCATATTTAGGACTGGAGAGTATGCCAAACCACAAGTAAACACAAATTGATTGGAGGTATAGCATGTGAATTTATCTCTACTTGATTAGTTATCATGAATATTATGAACTTCTGAGCTTATAGCCCATCCTCAGAAACTAATGACAATTTCTCTTTGAGTGAAGATCCAGAATTCAAACTGTCCTAATTTACTTCAAAATATATTTGTATGTAGAATATGATGGTGAAAAAATTTAAATATTGAAGGAAAACATGATTTGCATTTTAAACTATGTAGATTTATTAATGGAGTGTGTCTATGCATCTTTGAATCAGATGTGTAAGGGTCTGATTTTTAAGCTACTGTAACCTATTTCACAGGTCGATCTTCACTATTTCCTTTTGAAGATGGCTTTTTGGATGACAGTCATGGTGACCAGTCTTTATCATCAGGTCTCAACTCCCCAACCCGCTGTCAGAATGGTGAAAGAGTCGAACGCTATTCTAGGAAGGTGTTTGTTGGAGGGCTGCCCCCTGACATCGATGAAGGTACAGTGGGATGGCGGGAGGAAGGGCATAAGGGTCTCTTGCCATTTAAAAATTACTGAGCGGTAAGGCTCAGCAATATAGTGGCTATTTCTTTAAAAACCAGATTAACACAGTGAGCTCTTAAATCCTCAGAGCATGGATTTTATCAACTGAAGAACTTTTGTACATGCAAACGGAAGTATAAAAAGGTGTAAAAACTATTGGGACTCATTTAAAAACAAATAAACCTGTGTATATGTGTATACATTCAGTCATATACATATACACAGTATATATGTATACACACACACACACACACACACACACAGACATATCTATTCATCTTGACTACTTCTACTTTCTTCCCCTTGTCTATTGCCTATACAAACAGAGAAATGGAGGAGACAGAAGAAGACAAGATAATGTTGATAACACTATCCCAGTGACAATTAAACTTTGGCAGTTTAGACATTAGTCCAGTAAATTCTCTAAATCCTATTACTTACTACTTCTGAAATATACCAACACAGTAGTGAATTCCTTAGGCAGAAAAAAATATAATTGCCTGATAGAATAATTTAGTGATGATGATACAGTACCTCTAATTCTTCTAGTATAGGTAGTCCTCAACCTATAACCACAATTGACTCCAAAATTTCTGTTCCTAAGGGAGACAGTTGTTAAGTGAGTTTTGCCCTATTTTTACAAGTTTTGTTATAAAACTATTGCAGTTAAGTGAATCACTGCAGTTGTTAAATTAGTAACCCCGTTAAGTAAATCTGGCTTCTCCATTTACTTTGCTTGTGAGAAGGTTGCAGAAAATGATTACATGACCCCAGGACACTGCAACGGTCATAAATATATGCCAACTGTCAGACATCCGAATTTTGATCACATGACTGTTGGGATTCTGCAGTGGTCATAAGTGCGAGAAATGGTGATAAGGCACTTTTTTCAGTTCCATTGTAACTGTTGAATAGTCACTAAGTGAATGTTTGTAAGTCGAGGATTACCTGTATAATAATAACAACATAGAACTTGGATCAAAATAGTTTTAATTGATTTATAGTCCTAATTAGTAATTTCTCCATAGGACAGGGAATATAATTTTAATTTTAATTTTTCTGGTGTTACTTTTACTCATATTGAACCAGTTGAGATAGCAATACAGTTTTTCCATAGCTAGAGCTAAATCTACATCGCATATGAGCAGTATACTAGCATTATAGTATGGGGGGGGGGAGAGAATAGTGAACATCTAGGAAGTAGGGTAGTAGTGGCAATAGAATAATACTTTGATACAATTATTATAAATTGTTCAGCAATAATTTAACTAAAAGAATTGTGCATACTATATATAAATTGTTACTTCTTAGCAGGAAGTCCAATATTTTTTTCTTTGGATTTTCCCATTTGGCTGAGTTTTTCAGTAGTATTCCAACATACTATTCTTTTTTATTGGGGATATATTTATGAATTTATTTTTTTAAGCAACAGGNCTTTAGGAGGCTTATAGAGTGCTCCTTGGGGCTTCGGGGGGGGGGGGAAATGAGCAGAAAACGGCCCTTTTTAAACTCATTTTTGCCCTCCCCAGCCCCCTGGAGCACTCTGGAAGTCTCCTAAAGGCTATGCACAGCCATTTTTGCAAAGGGGGCAGGGTTTTGGGAGGCCAAAAATGCTGTATTTAGTGTATAAGTCGCACCCAGATTATCACCCTCTTTTTTGAGGGAAAAAGGTGTGTCTTATACTCTGAAAAATATGGTATATTAAAATGTATTAAAATATATTATCTCAACACAAATACATGTGAATGAGGGATAATTTTTAAAAACTTGTTTTATTTTAAATTAAAACTCAGATCTAGTACATCTAAGGGGCTTATAATATTTGGATCTAAAGATATTTTGAGACACTTAAATCCAGCTTACGTTTTCTTTTTAACAAACCTGGAACAGAGGTTGAATTAAAATTTTAAATTACAAAGGAAAAATTTCTAGTAGAAGTGTAATTTCAGAACTATTCTTTAAAATATAGTTTCTTCATATTATGTACGGCCCAATGTATGCATTCTGCAACTATGCAGGACAAAGTTTATAATTTTAAAATTGGATAATAAATAGTGTTGATCAAACTCTTAATTCCATATCTCACATTATTACCAGTTTTACCTTTCTGCTCCATTGTTTTTTATGACTGCAGGCTGCAGCACCATTAAAGTTTACCTTTTTTTTTAATCAGGTGAAAGGAAATGGGGTGGGTGGGTCTTCCCTTAATTTTTCCCTCGCCCATCTCCCACTTAGCAATCCTTTGCATCAGTTGGCAATCTTGTCAGTATAATGTTTCTGGTATATTAGTTCCACTATAGCAAGAGATTGCCATGCTGTTTGTTTTCCTTGCGTGATGACATGCTGCCCCTTTGTCAGAGTTCAAGGGCAAGATCTGAAGCTGTTCTTTTTCTCATCTTCGTGAGCTGGGTGCTAAAGCCAAAGCTTTCCCGACTTTGTGAGCCTGGCATGTCTTCGTTCCGTTGCTCTTATTACCAGTCTCCTCCTGTAGATTCTAGAACAGTAGTATAAGCCGTGCCACTCTCATCTGGCCAAGGTAAACATTGCCAGCGTTGTGAAGCGATAGAGGAAAGAGAGGCAAGCCGGCACTCTTAAAACTCTTTCATTTTGTGTTCCATCTCCCACTAGCACTTTCCAGGATAGCCAGGATAATGGATTTTAGGAGTTGTGTCCAAAGCATCTGGAAAGCACCAGCACCAATGGGCTTATTTTTTTCTGAATGGAACATAATGGTGGTCACTTCATATCGTTCAGTTTAGTTGGGATAATTTTTTATTCTAAGCAAGTACTGTAACTAGATTTGACTCATCAAATAAAACAGTCAGGATTAACCATCTTGGAACTTGTCAAGATCCATTTGCAATTTGCTGCTGAATTCAAATACTTTGAAGTTATGTGTTTAAAAATCTCTCTCAGTAATTAAAGCCCTTAATGTTTAAAGGGTATCCTCCAAAAATCAAATAATCTAATTTGCAACCAGTTAGTTGTGCTTCCTTTCAATAAGACAGTGTTATGAACAGAGAAATATATACTGCTATAATTTTTAAATGAGTATTAATACTGCTGATAGCAATAGCAATAGCAGTTAGACTTATATACCGCTTCATAGGGCTTTCAGTCCTCTCTAAGCTGTTTACAGAGACCCACAGTCTGGGTCCTCATTTCACCCACCTCGGAAGGATGGAAGGCTGAGTCAGCCTTGAGCCGGTGAGATTTGAACCGCTGAACTGCTGGTAACAGTCAGCTGAAGTGGCTGCAGTACTGCACTCTAACCACTGCGCCACCTCTGATGTTAATGATGATAGCTTGCTGATAATGAGAAGTACTGACATAATGTTGATGCTGGCAGAAATAAGTGTAATACAGATGATTAAAATAATTGTGAAGATGATAATAGTATCTATTATCCATTCCATCCATTTTGGGGGTCTTACTATTTTTCTATACTGGCTCCACCCATTTTTTCCAGATGCTGCCAACATCAGTTGCAGCACTCAACTTGAAAAGAATTCTCTTTCCCTGGTCAGGATGTTGATTTTGGAAAATTTCTTCAGAGCAATTGTTTTACCATCATGAATGGGCTTCTATTTCTTTTTGCTCCTTGCTGACGATAAAACTAAGAAAAGGAAAAGGGCCTAGAATCAATGCCTTTGCAGATTGTTTCTCGATGCGCAGTTGCATTTAGATTATAATATCCTCAATCAGAAATCCTAGTTACTAATAGAGGAAGGTTAATGAATTGATTGTGCTGGCAGCTGATTGCTGCAGAATCTAAACATATTTGTAGTTTGATCCCTCGGCTAAAGTAGATAAAACATTTTATTTGATGAATTAAAATGACTAATAAAGTTAACTGAGATATTTTTCTTATAGAACAGATAAGGCTACCTGATTGTCTGAGTTCTGCTTTATATCCTAAAGGAAAGAAGGCAATTTGGTTTGGTCACTTCGAGTCAGGTTTAAAAATAATAATAATAATTTCTGGTGACTGCTTTGACAATTCCTGCAATTTTCTTGGCAAGATTTTTCAGAAGTGATTTGCAATTGCTTCCTTCCCAGGGTTGAGACAGAGTGACTGGCTCAAAGTCGTCCAGCCGGGTTTCTACCTAATATTGGACTAAAACCACACTCTTTTAGTTTCTAGCTTGATACCTTAACCACTACCTCAAACTGGCTCTTACGAGGATTTTTCACGATCAATACTGTCCTTCCTTGTGTCGACCAGTCTGGGTGGAAGCCATCTCTTAATAACTGGTTCACCTGTGCCGCTAGGTATTCATTCATTGCTGTCAGTCTCTTTAGCCTGTAGGTGTGGATCAGCTTTGGGCCAGGTGCTGTCCAACTCTTCATGTTCTTGATCCACTTTTAGAGGCTGCTACTGTCATAGTGACAGGTTCCTATTCTGGGGGATTTCTGTGGTCTACTCTTAGGTCCTGAATCCACCTCACTGGTGTTAATGTGTCTCCTCTTTCTCTGCTATATTCTTCCAGTACTATTCAGTATCTGGTGTTAGTAGCTCCGCTATTGCTGTGTTGTTGCACTGCAATTGGGAGGACACCTTGGATGGTTCTTTGGAGAGCAGGACCTTTATCTTCTTGGCCTCTGTTTCTCTAGCATGTCCCCTTAGCCTTGTAGCCAGTGTTGTGGGCCTTGAGTCTAGAATTTTAGATGGAATCATGCCCTTGCATTTTTTTCAGTAGACAATCGTTTAATTGTTTATTCTTTAATCATCCACACCACACCCGCCACACCACACCTCACCGCATGCACCCCGCCCCACCCATAACTTCTCTCTAAGTTGCCTTGATCTTAGCCTTCATTAGCCTCATTTTCCAGAGAGGGTATGTACTACAGATCTTCTTGCTTGTATAGCCAAGCATCTCCAGGATCACAGGGGTTGTTGTAGCATATCTCAGTTCTTTGATTTGAATATCATAATGGTGGGGATTGTTGTGA